TGGGGTCTCCTTATTACTTTCATTGAGCTGATAAAAAACCCAGCGTTTAAGTTCTGGAACCATGAGTTTGTTCACTGCGCTCCAGAAATTGAGAAGTGAGTATGACTTTAACCACAGAATCATTAAAATGGGTAGAGCTGAAGCAGTTGCACCTTGAGGTTTTTGGTGCTGTCACAGCAGAAAGGACCATTTGCTGCCACTACCACCGCTTTGCTTCCTTGTGCAGGTTGTTCCAGTCGGTTGCACAGTGCTGCATGGGGCAGAAGCAGGCCCAGCAAGTCATGGAAGGGACTGGTGCCAGTTAGATGAGCTGCATCCTGCATTCTAAGCGTGCCAGCCTGGAGGTCCTGTCCCATCGACTGACTGAAGACTCTGTAAGGCTCCTCCTGACCTTCCCAGCCCCCTCGATTGGGTAGAACACGACAGACCCTGGGTGAAAGTCTTATGTGGGCATGTTCCAAAGTTTGAGACAAATTTTTTGACTTTTGGCCAAAATTCAGAAGATGCTGTGAATATCATTTTAAACTAGTGTAAATACAAGGAACAGAAACATTTTGTCTGGACTTTTGGGTTTGTGCAAATTGTGTAAAAGGCAGGTGGGCAACTGGTGCCTGTCCAGCTTGTAATAAAGGGGCAGCTGCTGATGCCAAGCACTTGTCTGGGGCAGACCTCCTTGTCCTGACATTCCCAGACTCCCAAAGAATATTGAAAAGCCAGTTATAATAAGTAACTTATTTTTCTTTATGTGGATGGGGGACCTTTCAATCACTAAGTTGTTAAAAAAAAGGTGGATGTGTTTGGAATATGGGAATTATATGGAGTATGGGAGGGGTGAGGGAGGGGTTAAGGTTCAGTGTTGCTTTTCCCTCACCCTCATCAGATGCTGATAGACAGCAAGTGGAGTGGCAGTCAGAGAATGCCTCCTTCCTGTTGGATAAAAAACAGGCCCTTCAGGTGAGGGTCAGCTGTTTTCAGTAAATAAACCAGAGACCAGGCCTATAGCTTCTTTATTTTTGTTCTTTTTTTTTTCTTTTTTGACAGTTGTAAATTTTGAAAGATGAGGGGTTCAATCTAGACCTTTTCCCATCCCTACCCTGTGACCACACATACAAGTTTAAGTTTGTAAAAAAATAATTAGAAAAAAAAAAAAAGGAAAAAGAATAAAAACAAAAACCCAAAGGACCAATACAGCCCATTTTGTAAGGATTTTCAATGTTTTGTAAAGTATTGGTCCATGTGTTGTATTTTGTAGCCTTTCTAGTTCTTGGGCTTTAGTTCTCCCACTCTTGTATGTATGCATACTGTAGTTACACATTAAAAGTCATGACATGCAGCACGTGCCACTCTGCTTATTCTCTCCAGTTCCATCCTGGCTAGTTGGTGTCTTTCAAAGTCTGTTCCACCCATCCAAAACCTGCAATTTTCCAGTGTGTTTTGGGCACTGCCTCTTGAAAGCAACTGGGTTTGTTTCTCTAGTGTGAGGTCAGTGGGGAGATGGAATGTCTAGACAGGGCCTTGCTTTGAAGTGCAAAAGAAGGGAGTGTTATGTGGAAATAGAAATGTCTTAGTTGCAGCTTCATGAGCAGTTTGGCTCAGACAGAAGACTGCAGTGGAGGGGTACAGAGTGTAGAGAGCCCATCAGCTTCATTTCTAGTGCCTTGCACCCTGCTGTGGTTCTCCCTGCAGCCCAAGGCTGGGCTTGGCTGTGGGAAGGGTAGGCAGCTCCAGTGTTGCTAATGCTGCAGAATCCCTTAGCCTGTGCCTTACAGCCTGGCAGATGCTGGGAAATTGGGCTCCACTGCTTTCTTTTATCATAACATTACTGGTTTGTTAAACCTAGTTGGCTGCTGTGGTATGGGCAGAGAGGAGGTCAGGATTTTCTAATCACGTTTAAGGGGTTCTCTATTGGTTTTTGCATTTCCTGCATGGAGCAAAACCCAGCTCCAAGGGGCTGTGCCAATGTGCCAGTGGACAGCAGCTGACAGGGAATTCTCTACCTGTTTCTGTTCTGGGCAGTCTTTTTTCAGTCACATGTATGTCAAGGACTAGACTGTGGGCAGGTCCTACAATTCCCTGGTGTTTCTGTAGCAGCTCACCAGTTGTGCTGAAACTGAGCCTTTTGAAGTTGGAATTTTTTGGTTCTGCTGTTGCAACTTCAGCTTACTCCTCCTCCTGTGGGGTTAGGATACAGAGAATTACCAGCAACCAGTTTTTCTTTATCTGGTCCAGATGCCATGGGATTTTTTTCCTTCCATTTGACTGTAGCAAAACCATCTGCAGAGCTTATTGCCTTGTCCTGATGGCTCAGATGTGTCTCTGGTTCTGTACTAATGCTGCTGTACAAGGCTGGTGTTGCAGAGACTGGAAGGTGGACAAGACTCAGCCAAGATCCCAGTAACACAAGATGGGCTGGTAGGATGGAGGCCACTGCACTCACATCCTCCCTTTGTTGCTGAATTTTAGGAACACTCTGAACATGGACAAAGAGTCAGGTTTAGAAAGGAGACATTGTTTATTCTGCACAGGGTGCAAGGTGGAAGTTTTTCCCCAAATCAAGCACACCAAGGAATAAAAAAATGAGAGAATTTAGGCACCAAAGTTTACATAACCCCACCTATCTAATACATAGTTACCTCCTACCTAATGCAGAGTCATTTAGCTTGTGCAACCCTTATGCAGTCCTTGTTACTGTGCCTGTGGGGACCTTTTCAGAGGTCTCTGGTGGTCATTTGGGGAGCTGCCCCCGTCTCAGTTTCAAGCAAAGTTCAGCTCAGGCTGCACAGAACCCAAGGTTTAGTGCCAAAGGTGATCTGCAGCTGCAGCTCCATGTCTTCTAAACAACTGCCAAGCAGGGCATAAAATACCAAAGCTTTCCATAAGGATAAAGCAACACCTGATAACATCTCTTTGTATTCAAAAGAGGGGTTAAAGGTGAGAATAATACCATCAGCTTCCATCTGCAACAGAGATCAAAGGAAGGGACAGAGAATTCTACTTAAAGATATAAAGAATTCTGCTTGAAGATATCAATTCCCTCCCTTGGAAGCTTTTGAAATATTTTATTAAACACTTGCACATTCTTTTGGCTACTATTGTTCCCAGTTATATTTAAATCTTGGAGGTAGGTGTTTCATGATTCTCCACATTTGATATACAATCCCAGCACTGAAATAAAAAGCAGACAGGTTAGTTTTAAAGACAGTTATGAGATGTACCATTTTATTAAAAATTCCTGATGCTGTTGGAACCCATCCAAATAAAATATTCCACCAATGGTGATTTCTATCTTTCTTCACTCTTTCCATTACCTGATGGATTTCTTTGCTGTCATGAGAGACAGTAATCAAAGTCTTTCTACTACTCTGTTTAGCTTCTTTTAACAGCCTTTGCAAATTTTTATGTTGTAGCAATTTCTTTACTAGCATAAGGCTTATACCCACAGAGGTGAGTTGTAGAGTTAATTAAGCTATAATTTGTTTTTAATAGTTGGAAGGAAGTTACTGGGGCTGAGTAGTTAAAAATCACAGCCTCTGATTTGGGTAAGTTTACAAACACAAAAATTAGAGTGTGATTTAACTGATTATCCATTTCTGTGTATTCCCAAGGAATACTAAAGCATACACACCCTTTAGCTGAGTATACAAATACTGGTTTTATATTAATCTCTGGCCGAATTTCAAAGTTACAGATATGCTGTTCCATGTCTAGGCAGGTATCTTGAGTTCAGTTGTATTTCCTTCACAGACAAACCCTTGTGCTATACAGGTGCTGACATTTGTCATCTGTTCCTTTCTCTGTTCTGTTGGATGCACTGTGGTTCCATTACTGATCATGCCTAGAGCAATAATAGGATGAATATCATAGTCTTTAGTTTTAAGTATAGTCAATATTAAATAGTATTTGTTGTTTCCCTACCTCCTTAATTACGTGTGGGTTGGTTTCCCAGGCTTGAGGGGGTTTGGGAGGTGTTAAAGGTTTTCTTTTTACCTTTACTTGTATCCAATGGCCTTCTGCTACTACCTCATCTCCTATGGCTCAGCAGTGATATTTACCTTCCTCCTCCTCCTTATGCATCAAAGGAAATTCTAGAGAGTATATATTGTTGGATTCCCATCTAGTTGCAACAGTAATAATTTCAATTCTCTTCCATCCTCGTTAAACCATTGTACAATTGATTTCTTGTTACAGTATTTGACTGGACAAGAAAGAACAAAAGGATTATCTATGTGAGTTTCCTATTCAGAAGGATTAAGGCAATTCAGGAAAACATGTCACAGTAAGGGGCTTAATCAATGTAAAATTATACCAACATTATACCAAGTTTGACATCTGACACTGTCTCAACAGTCCTGGTTTGTGCAATTGTGTTTGTGTAAAACAATTACTGCAATTAGAAATGCTCCTACCCCTAGAGGGCATTCAAGTTCTGTGTAAGACAGGCTTTCTTCTTCCCAGGTACAGTTCATTAAGTTACTTCTTAATTTTTTTAGTCCCAAAGATCCGGAGGGGGTGGCTTCTCACTTATCTAGTCCTGTAGTTTTCTTCCCTCATAAATGGTGGTTCCAGGGCTCTAGTCCCTGAAGTTTCATAGCCATGTCTTGGGAGGAGAACCTGCTGCAGTCCTTTCCAGTGTTCCTTTAGTGTCCCATCATTCCACAGTCTCACACAGATCCAATCTCCCGCCTGGAATTTGTGAGCAGGAAGGTCCAATCCAATCGGATTTCTATGTTGAAGGGTTTAGTGTTGTCAGCAGCTCCAGCTGCCAGATGTTTACTCTGAGCTGCCAGCTGGATTTCTGCCCTCTTAATCTGGACAAGGAGCTGCTCTTGCCTTAAATTTCTGATGCTGAATTAGGGAACCCACTTGCTGTTCTGACAGTGTATGCCTGCCTTCCTAAAACAGCTGCTGGGAGGTCTGGGGTTTCTTAAGGCCTCTGGAAGAAGGTGATATTTGTGCTCCAGAGCTCTCACTGTACAATAATGCCACCCAAAATCCCTTCAGTGCTGTCAAGATACTTCTTTATGTAGAGGTAGCTCAAAAGCCACATGCCATATAAGGGACAAGTGGGCCTATAGTCAGTCTTGCCATCTGTCCTCCCTGCTGCAGGATTGATGTCCAGAGGCTGCCCTTCCCCTTGGATCAGTCCTGGGCAGGTCCTGTCCAGGGGCAGTGAGGTTTCTATCGTACCAGCTCCAGCAGCTGATGCAAGATCCTTTTCTGTCCATATCGCACGTGCAGAGCCTGCTGCTCCCTTCGACTCAGTTTCTCATAAGCCTCCTTGTTATTTAGCAAGTCCTGCTCTGCTTTCAGGTCTGACCTGTAGGACTCCAGGGTCAGCAGCACACTGTCATAAAGGAGCTTCTTGCATGGGGTTTTTAGTCTGGAGAGAGCCTCGTTGGAAAGGGGAGAGTTTTCCTCTTCCTCACTGTCATCTTCCCAGCCATCTTGTTCCTTATACTCCTTGAATTCTTCTTCTGACATGCACAGCACCTGTAATGACCCAGGCAAAGGGACAAGTCACTGGCAGTGTGAGCACATCAGGCTTTCTCCTCTGTGGAAGAGCCACGTGGAGCAGGTGAGTTATTCCTCAGCCACACTAAAGGTTAACAGACTGAAACTGGCTTAGATCCCTAATTGCAGGCAACTCCTGTGTTAGAAGAACGTTCAAACAGAAAACCTGGACATCTCAGCTGTCACCTACGAAGTTTTGAAAGCTCCCTAGAACAGCAGTGGCCATGGAGCGAGCTGTTCAAAACAGGTACGAGTACAGATGGGTGGCTAGTTGAGGAGAGGAAGATGTTTTAACAGCACCTGGGAGCTGGACAGCCACAGCCCCTGCCACTGATCATGCAGGAGTGTTGGTACCAAACTGCCTTCCCGTGCTTGTCCCCTCCACTGAGCCCTTCTGCACTGCTGGTTAGCCCAGCTGCACTCCGTGCTCTCCTTGTGTAGCTCTCTGCCCCCTTCCTGGCTGTGCTCACCTTCAGGGTCACGGACAGCTCTTCCTCTGTCAGCACCTCATCCCAGCCAAGCACAAAGGCACCTTCCTCACCCACCATCTCCAGCTGGCACAAGAAGTCCCACTGCTCTGAGACCAGCTGCTGCTGCGCTTCGCTGCTGGCACCTGTTTGAAGACAGCAGAGCTGCAACCCCACCGGGGCGGGGGGCGAGCGGAGAAGGGCAAACAGGAGGCAGAAAACAAGGCGTGGCCCCAGCACCTGAAATGCTGTGGATCAGGCATTGTTTTTCGTGTTGCACTCGATCCCTGCCCCGTTACATCCCCGTGTACCGGATCCCTGCCCCGTTACATCCCCGTGTACCGGATCCCTGCCCCATTACATCCCCGTGTACCGGATCCCTGCCCCGTTACATCCCCGTGTACCGGATCCCTGCTCCGTTACATCCCCGTGTACCGGATCCCTGCTCCATTACATCCCCGTGTACCGGATCCCTGCTCCGTTACATCCCCGTGTACCGGATCCCTGCTCCGTTACATCCCCGTGTACCGGATCCCTGCTCCGTTACATCCCCGTGTACCAGATCCCTGCTCCATTACATCCCTGTGTACCGGATCCCTGCCCCGTGCCCTCCCGGGGTGCCCGTGGGTGGCACTCACGCCGCAGCGCCGCCGCGCGCACCGTCACCATCTGGATGTCGGCGGTGTCGTGGGTGTTGCCGGGGTAGGGCTCGGCGAAGCCGTACATGTGCAGCAGCTGCCAGTTGGCCATCTGCCCGTAGGTGTTGAAGATCTCCTGGCCCTTCCCCACGGGCTGTGTTGTCACCATTCGCAAGCAGTGCTGCGGGCAGGGAGAGGGAGCTCAGAGCTGTGCTGCTCCGACGGGGAAACGTGGGGTTTGAGAGCGGCTCAGATGACCCCCAGCTCTCACTAACCAACTCCAAACACGCAGCAGGGCTTCATATTAACAAGATCCAGGCCAGACTCGCTGCCCAGGGGTGTGTCTCCATTCCCAAAGGCCTCATGAAAGGGGAGCCAGGCTGTGACAATGCCTGGCACAGCAGCTTTGCACTCACAGGAGAGTACTCCAGGTTGGCGTTGTGGTTGGCCACGTGATTCAAAATATCTGCTACAGGCACCATCATGGGAGGATTGGGCCCCTTCTCATCTTCATCTTCCTCCTCCAAAGGTTCCTGAAAGCTAGAAAGAAGGGAGATGAAGACAAGCCTGTGGTTCATGTGGCAGCACAGGGCAAGCTTCATCTTATACTTACATTCTCATGCAACCGCAACCTTTAAGTAACAGCCTCAAATCTTTCCTATGATCCTGCTCCTTGTCCTTACTCCCTGTCAGAGCAGAGCCTTCACTTCTCACCTGTAAGCCATGACAAATGCCACCAGCTCCTTATATAATTCCAGAGTGTGCAGCTTGGGGTCAAAGACATCAGGGTGAGACTCCATGAAAGGGAGGATGATGGAGCTGTACTCCAGGTGGATGTTAGCTAGATCCTTGTCCACGGCTTCTGGAATGCCTGTGCCCTGCAGGAGCCTTGTTCGCTCTTCTTCAGGCCTGTTGCAAGAAAAACAGAGGTTGTGCCTCAAGAAGAGTCTACAGACTGCTTCCTCCTTCAAAATCTCAGCTTCCCCCTGCTCTGCAGATCCCTGTTCTCTGGCTGTGCCTGTAGCATAACTTCATGGGAGTCCCTCAGGCTCCTGCCAGTGCCAGCACAGGGCTGGAACAGAGGGCTGGGGTTGCCCAGTAGGACCAGATCTATGCCCAGGACCCTGCTCAGCAACCCCTGGGCTGTGCCTGCCTCCAGCTGCCAGCCTGGGCCTCCCCACAGCCCTGCCTGGTTTCACCTTACCAGAACATGGGGTGATCCAGGCTCCGGAAATCCTGCCAGAGGGAGAAATACGGCTGCCACTGGGAGCTGCTGGCTGTGTACTCGTGCAGCAGGGCCAGCAGGAGAGGGACCCACCCGGACTGGCTCTGCAGGGACTCCTGGGCTGAAGAACCAGACACAGTGGAGAAAATGTAAGTTGATCTTGAGGTGTTTTTTTCCTTAAAGAACCAAAGCCTGACACCACAAGCCTCAGTCCCACCTTCACCCTGGAGGCAGGAGTTCTGCTTGCACTCCTCTTTGTCTTAGTCTGTCCTGAGCTGAACCACAAGCTGCTGCTCTGCAGCTCTCCCAGACCCTACTGCCCTGCCATCCTCAGCCTGAGCCTGTGGGTGCTTTTAGAAACCAAGGAACTGTTCTTTTCCCTACAAGGGCCTGTCCTGGGCCTCCAGGGAAACCTAAGTGACATGAGCCTGTCACTTGGAAGTTGGAGATATTGGACTATTGGGCTTTTCTCCCTGCCCGGCAGAGCTCCAGGCTCCTTTAGGGAACCCCCTTCCTGGCTGGTATCTAACAACCCTCCAGGAGGAATGTCCCCAAGGCTTTATCCCAGACCCATTAATTCCTTTAAAAAGCAAAGCAAACTCGAGTGCCACGAGAAGCTTGCACTCACCTTCCTGCAGGAGGGTGTGGATGGAGGTGGTGTGCTGGGACAGCAGCGCCGTGCGAGGGATGGTGAACAGGACCTCTCCCGCCTCCAGCTCCTCGGCGGCCAACAGGCCGTACCCCGCCACCGCGCCCTCCCTGCTCACGCGCACCTGGGCCGGGAGGGGAGCGGTGACGGGCGGGCCAGAGACACCGGAGCGGCTCGGGGGAGGCCCGGCCCGGCCCCGCACTGCCTCACCTTGGGGCTGAGCTCCACCCCGGCCCGCCCGCACCACGCCAGGAACGCAGAGAGGGGGTCGGCGCTGCCCTTCCCCCCGGAACCGCTCCCGGCCGCCGCTGCGATGGAAACACGGCGTGAAAGGGAAGAGCCGCAGGCCGATCGCAGAGCCGCCCGTAAAGGACCGGGGTCTCCCCCGGCGCCCCCCGTCCCTTGAAACCTCTTGGGCTGCGCGACGCCATGACGGAGCCACACGTGGTTCCGCACCAACGTGGTGCCGCCGGGCCTTCCGAGTGGGCGGAGCGACTCCCCCCCCCCGCGGGGGTGACGCGTGTCCGCGAGGGACACGAAAGGGCCGGCGGCGGCGGCGAGTGAAACAGCGCCCGGCAAACTGTGGGGTTCGGGCGTTTCTCTGTGGGCTCTGGGGTGGTCGTAGAACCTCCTGTGGGGTCATGGGACCTCTGAGCACCCCCCTGAAGGGTCTGGGGTCCTTGTGGTGCCTCTCGGTGGAATCCAGGGACCACCACGTGTCTGTCTGCGGTGTCTGGGGACGCTGTGGGGTCTCTCTGAGCGGCTCCTCAGGTCTCTCCCTGCATTTTGCTGCCTCCATCCCACCCCGGGGGCTGCACTGCTGGGCTCACACCTCCAGGCGTGGGTTAAAAACAGCGGGCTCTAATTAATCAGGATAATTAAGCTCGTGCTCTTGTTCTGTCAAGACCATCCCCCTCCACCCTGCGTGGGGCTCTGATCTCCCTCCAGGGCAGTCCCGCGGCTCATTAGTCCCGTCCCCAGGCCCGGCAGAAGGGGGGCCGGTGCCATCGCTGGCGGCTCTAATTAAGCCAATTAGTGCGCACGAGGTGTTTGAAGAGGCCCCACGGGGCTCTCCGCGGGCTGTCCCTGCTGCTCCCCCACCCCACCAGCCTTTGGGATCGGCTTTAATCACCTCCAGCCCCTCCCGGGCTGGACTGGCAGGGTGGGTTCCCTGAGGGGCAGAGGGGTCCCATCCCGCTCCCCTCCCTGCCAGCGCATCCCTACGGCACCGCATCTTCCCAGGGCACATCCCCAGGATGCCGGATCAGTGCCCGCGGGATTCCCGGGAGCCGGGTGTTCAGCCCGGTGTGCGCTGGCAGCCTCGCTGGGGTGCTGTGGGGGTGGGAGAGGTCAAAGCAGGTCCCCACACCGTCCTTCCAAACGCTGCAGCAAAGTGGGGTCCCCCCTGCCTGTCCTGGACATCCCCCCAGACCCCAGACAGGAGCCTGGATAGCTCAGTTGGGAGAGCATCAGACTTTTAATCTGAGGGTCCAGGGTTCAAGCCCCTGTTCAGGCGGTGGCTTTATCCTTTAGGAGCAAGAAAGGGGAGCCTCGTGGGCAGCAACTGCATCCCCTCCTGCTGCTGGAGTCCCTGCTTCTTTTCCCACCACCATCTCCCCCAGAAACGTTCCAGGTCCAGCTCCTTCCCATCTGACACCCTCACAGCACCGCTCTCTTCTTCCAGTCACCCAGGAGTGCAAAGAGAGGGATCCCACACTGTGATGGCAAGACAGGTAAGGCTGTTACACATGAAAATAGTGAGAAATAGAAGGGATAGGAGAGGCACAGCAGAGCTGGAGGGACAGAAGAAAGGGCTGCAATGGGTACTGGGGGCTCAGGGGTGGCCCTGGGCTTAGGTCACCTCAGGCTGGGGGTGAGGAAAGCAAGTGGGGGGATCCTGGGACTGAGTGTGGTTTTGCCTTGTGGAGGTCTGCAATACCCTCCTCGGGCCTTTTGGCATGTCCAGGCCCTCCCTCACCTCTGGGTGTTGCTCTTCCCTATCCTCACTTCTCTCTGTTCCATTTTGGGCCCGTGCCCACCCCAGCTCAGGCAGACGCTCCCGGGAACCCACCCCTGGTGCGCGGGATGCCAGCCCTGCTGCCCTGGCCTTGGCAAGGCTGGGGGGGACAGTGGTGTGTTTTACAAGACACTGGACCCCCATCAACCCACGAGCTTATTTTATTGTCCCGGTGAACTTTGCTTCCCAGCGGCTCCGATCCTTCCACGCGCACGCGCCGCGGCCGGGCCGAGCGCCGGCCCGCGCCTCCGTCAGCATTCATTTCTTGCCAGCAAGAAAACAAAGAGATAATAAATAGGAAGCTTATTTGTGGGGAGGGCCCAGGGGATGGCCTGGGGTCACGGGCCAGGCTGTGCCTGGCCCCGGCCGGGGCCAGCGGGGGGGCTGCAGGCGGGACAGCCCAGCCCCGGGCCGTGCACTCTGCGGGGCTGGGCATCGCCAGCCCGGGGGGGCCAGGGGGATATAGCAATCTCTATTTAATTACAGTAAAATAGACTATTTAAAAAATTATTTCTAGTAGTTAAAAAAGTGTCGTGGTCCATC